CGTCCGTGTAATGTATTTTTAAACTTTTAGTTTAAAAATTATATAAACTAAACAGCCTACAGTATTTTTACAGTCTTTATTTTTCAGTTAAAATATTAATCAAATACAGTCTAATGTTACAACTAATCGGGGATCCCTTTAAAAGGCGGTAATTCAACCATTTAAGACTTACTGAGATGACATTTGGTGTGAAGTAGCTAAGAATGATCACATGTCCATTGCCGATGCTAATCCCAAAATAAGCTAACAGCTAATGCTAATTTTACAAAGGGCTATAATTCAGCCAGTTTTAAACATACACAACTAAAAATTTATATAGTACAGTAGTATCAGAGAACAATCTTTAACAAACTCTAAAAGTAAATAGAAAATCCCAGATTCCCATCCACTTGCCACCTTGGCTGGCCACCCCTAATTTTTGATATTGCTTAAAAAATTATCTCTAAATAATGCATGTGTGGATAGTACGGAACAATATTACTGTGAGCCAATTCAACATGATACAAAATATTGTTTTTCTGAGTTACAACATTTGTAACAGACAAAAGATGGTTCATTTGCTAAGTAAAATATATTAAACATTAAGTTGTTTAAATTCTGTTTTGCAGTGAGTTGAAAATAAACTTCAGCCTGATTAAACAAACTTTCTCATGGAGTTAAATACTCTGAATCCAGAGTCATATAGTTTGTTAAAATAAAATAAATCTTCCATCTGTTCCAGTGTTCATATATTCAATGCCTGGGTACACCTGCAGCATCAAGGAGAGGATGCTGTACTCCAGCTGTAAGAACAGGTTACTGGATGAGGTGGAGAGAGACTATCAGCTGGAGGTCAACAAGAAGGTATGGCTCGCACGTTTCTGTTCAGGTTCAGAGCACCAGAAGCTCAGTCGTCACAAGGTGCTCTTTGTGCGCAGATGGAGATCGACAGCGGCGATGGTCTGACAGAAGAATTCTTYTATGAAGAGGTGCATCCCATGGAGCAGACCCTAAAGCAGGCCTTTGCTAAGCCTCGTGGACCAGGAGGGAAGAGGGGCAACAAACGCATCATCAAGAGTCCTGGAGAGAACGGGGAAGATTAGACATCATACACACTCACCCCCCACCCACCCACACGCACACACACATATATAACACAATCAAATGTAATGATGTTTAAGAATTAATCAAGCATTTGACTGTTTAACTTTTAAAAGAGAGTTTACGTTTCACAATAAAACATAAGGAAATGCTAATGTAAGGGAAGCAGCTGCTAAATGTTAAAGTGATGCATCTTTATGCAGATAATTATTGACAGTTCTTGTTCTGTATTCTCAGACTCTTCTGGTCCAACAGTGATTCAGTTGTTACATAATGATGCTGTGCAGCCAAAGGTTTTTACAAATCCACAGAAAGATCCACACAAAGAACTATAAAATGAGGACGAATAGACAGCTGAGCACWTTTTTAAAAGACAAAAAGCCTGATTATGCTTTTAAATTGTTTATTTCTCTTAGTTTAGTATGTGGGGCTTTTATCTCTGTTAAAGATCTGTAAAGAAACGACAGAGAAACATATTTGCATAATTCATATCTATTTGATTGACAAGTACAAATACAATATTTCAGTTTTTGTTGTGACGTCATCATCCTGCAACAAAAGCAAACGCTAATGATGCTAATGCTGCTAACGCTGCTAACATTGAAGATGACATTTAAATTTTTAATTCTAAATGTTTTCATTGAAAACAATATGGATGATACCTGTGGTCTGGCAGTTTGAAGTGCAGCTCGGACACCAGCCGCATCAGCAAGTCTGATGTCTTTTAGAGAAGCGTTAAAATGCCTGACATGCATCTTCAAATACAAAAAGTAAAAAAAACGCTTTATATTTATGAAACTTGGCATAAAACACAATTTTATTAATTTTGTCACATAACTGGCATATTTTTAATTTAGATTGGACGAAACAAACAGGAAGTGACATCAAAGTTGATCTCTTTAAGAAATCACATTTTCAGGTCTTTGCTTATTAAAGCAATGTTGTTTGAACTCTGATACTTCATTTATCTCTGATAGTGACTTAAATAATCTCAAGAAACATCAGATTTTTCTCTACAGTCTATGCATTGTAGTAATCCTCTGTTTACATTCAGACATTCCCCTTTGACATCACTTCCTGTTACTTCACATGTGAATATCTCAACACCTGTTCATCGCAGTGGCATGAAATGTTTGTTGTAAAAAGTTATTAGTATTACCTTTCCAAAAATGCATTCATATTTATTACAAAAATTTGATGTCACAGGCACTTTAACAGTGTTAGCACTTAGCAGCAGTTGCTTTTATCTCAGGATGATGACATCCTTAGAAGAGCCGAGCACCAACAGCAAACACTGCATTACATTGTGAAACCTTAACATTTTGCCACATTTACATTTATTATTTTTTTACATTTAGATTTAGGATTATARATTTAAACACAGCATTTAAATTTAATATTTAGTTTAAAAAATAGCAAAATGTAAGAACAGTGAGCTAAATTATAAAYTGTTGGTGGAAAATCTTTGGCTAGGAATTTTCCCCTTAGAAAGTGAGCTAATTATTGAAAATGTGTTAGTGACATTTTTAGACATTTTATTCTACACTTGGCACCCCAAAACCAACATCATTATTTCTAACTTCATGATCTGATTTTATTTTGGATTCATTCGTTTGCATTGAGTACCGTTAATCTACTCTGCAGCTAAAACATTTTTAATGAGTGTCCCTGCAGTGAGCCGTGACTTTAAATAAAATAAACATTTTTGGATTAAAAACTTACTATTATAGCATTTAAATAAATCCTCTTCTGTGTTGTCATTTCCTTAATACTTTTACAATTTTTCTAGCATTTCTCTTACACTTCAATTTATAAAAGTCACAAGTAAATGCTGTGGAATTATTAGTCARGTTTCTCAGACCCAAATTTTACTGATCAGGCCCAAGTTTAAAATAATAATAATAATAAAAAAACAACTGCAGATGCCTTCATCGGCCATCAAATCGAGGTTTGACTACACTCACATGAAGGCTGTTGTTTTACACACTTCTGCAATAAAAGTATTTGATGTATTTTCCATCAGTGTGTGTGTTTTCTTATTTCTTTCTCTGTAGCTGAACGTGTGTGAAGTCATGCAGACCATGTGATATTACAGACTGTAAACCTCAAACTCATCATCACACTTTATCCATTCTCTGTCTGACTCCATTGCATTTTTCTTATTAGGATTATTTGGAAAAAGCAGAATTGTAGCCTTTGCTCTCAGGCTTTCATCCCCAGCTGCGTTTGCAAACTGACTGGGGTAACGAGGCGTTCTCATACTCTGACCCCTCCAGCTGGAACACATTTCTGCAGAATCATGCCTTTAATGAGTTTTTGATTATTGCTTTATGCTAATGTATTTTTTTTATTATTTTTTATTTATTTGTTGATTAATATGTTTACTGATTATTGATTTATTTGTTTTATTTGTTCATAACAGGTCTCTCTTGCAAATGAGAAGTGTTTCTGAGTGAGACTAACATGTATAAATAAAGGGGAAAGAAAGACAGGCAGGCAGCAGCAGGGGTCACGGGGTTGTGTGTGTGCGTGCGTGCGTGCGTTTTCCAAGAAGGCGCTCTACCCAGAAGCCCTCGGCTGTGCACTCTGATGCTTTCATGCCTCACGGGAAACACCACTGATGTGAATATTTCTTCTTGGAAACAGGCTTCAGAGCTGAACAGCCATTTTCAAGTGGTCATTATCTTGATACATAAGAACTACAGGCTGAGTTCATGATGAATCGAGAACACGCTTAAAAGGATGGTAAATTCCAAGAAAAACAAATTTACACCTCGACGAGAACTTCTTGTCATTATAGCTTAATAAGACATGATTACATTCTAGAAAGTCCTAGTTTAAAGAAAACTGCAGAAGGTAATGAGTAATTTTGTGAACTGTTTTGCTTTAAGTATTTGGTTTGGTAAATATTGTCAAAAGATACAGCTCATTTAAATAAAGTTATTGATTAAAAGCCTTTCAGGACAAAGTAATGTTTACATTTTCTAACATAGCTTCACTCAGCTGCTTCAGACGTGACAGGAAGTGGTGCCTTCAATGTAAAAGGTTCAAAATTGACATTAAAATGACAGAAACCACATTAGGAAAGTGTGGTCAGCTTTAAATTATTATCTTTTTTTTTAATGGAGCCAAAATATAAAATAAAGATAAGAATACTATTTTTAAAAAGGGTGATCATGCAAGAATATATTTGTCTTTCAACCAAACATCTCATAAACCGCACCATACGATTCAATGAACTCCGAAAGTAATCATTCAGTGAACATCTAAGATTATCTTTTGGTGTCTTCTTTTTACAGATGATGAGATTAAATTTGATGTGGTTGTAGCTGAGAGTCGTCCTAACATACTTGAAGCACTAAGATGGTAGTTTTGCTTTAATAAGGGGGCCTTTGTTATGCAATTCTYATATAAGCAAGGGTGTAATCCCCATCCTAAAAGTTGGGAGGACACAATTTAAAGGTCTTTTTTTTCCTGCTTTGGTTGAAATAAGTGGGGGGACAGAGGGCACAGATGTGGGATGTGGGGGGACATGTCCCACCCTGTATATGGTGGTTACGTCCATGGATATAAGATGCAATAAAGCAGCCATGTTCATGAAGATTCCTACATAATAAATCTCTGAAAGTGTTCCTGTGTTAGTGTTAGACTTGAGACTGAACAGAGCTGGTGTTTTATTGTATTTTTTTTCTTATTATTCCTCTCATTTTAATGAGAAATAAATGTCTGAGTCAGCTGCTGGGGTCTTTGATTGTGTCTTATGTTGACATCTGTAGAGGAAGTAGTGTGTGTTGTTGTGTTGATCCGCTGGGCTGCAACCTTTTTCCTGTCACTGCAGGCTGCTGAAACACAAAACCTTTCCTGGAAACAGATTCCCAGGAAGCTGAGCTCTGTCAGCCTGCCTGAACTCAGCTGCTGCTGTCTGAGCTGCACTTTTCACAGAGCTGCCCCTCCGACACAGACGCACTTTTTATTTCCAGCAGACTCCACCAAAATCTTTTTCCTTCTTTTGCCTCTTATGATGATCAAACATTCACTGTGAGAATCATCAGATTTCCCTTCTTCACCTCCACCACTTTCTCAAGTTTTTTCTCAATCTTTTGGACTTTTCATGATTTAAGGTAAAAAAATATTTRATTTATATTTGACTGTGTTTGAGCATGTGGTTGTATTTTTCTATAAAACAACATGTTATGGAAGCAATAAACTAAAACAGCCACTGATAGACATCCCATTATTCTGTGTTTTACTTGTAAATCCAGGTGTTGTGTGAGRTAACATGTCAACATGGCGTTTATACCACTGTTGTGTTTTTCCTGCGCTCAGGAAAATGCAACTTTATGACACTATAGACATTTTCTGCATACATTTATTTCATGATTGCATTTACCAAGGAAAATATGAGTTAATATTCTTAAAAATGTCTGACTTATGAATTTGCTATATATCCATATTGTTTAATGTTTTAATGGTTTGATTAGTTTAAACTTTGTTGCTCATTTTGAAAAAAAATTGAATATTTGTGCTTAAATATAAAACAAAATTCTGCATATTTAACATTTGACTTGAGAAATTTTCTACCATTTCATTTAATCATTATCTTGAAGCAATGTTTGTTTTTACAAAGATAACAGAGATTACACATGCAGAAGAAACTAAGTTAGTTACACATCAGTAAATTCTTGATCCGTGGTTTTTYTTCACTCTGGCAGGTCTGTGGAACAGGAATGGTAGCCCGGACGGTCACCATTTTGCATTATGAGGAACAAGAAAGTTCCTGCTGCGCACATCCTTCTCCTCCACAGTGGGATCCTGCAGAAGATCTGCGCTGCATCACAGCCAACTTCCAGTACCTTCAGGCCTCAGGTAAACCTCCAGTTATATCCTTTAAAATCATTACTCAGATTTTTAATATCTTACCTGTTGTAGATAAGGGATTTGAACAACCTCAGTCTGGGGAAAAAAGAGTTTAAATCTGACTGGATGGACAAAATTAATAGCTGGTCTGAGCATGATAAAGCACTAATACCACCGCCAGCAGCTAGCTGTAGCACTTCCACTACAGCTTGTGTGAACTTCTAGTAGGACATTAGACTGGTTAAAACCAGACCCTTGTCCTTCACTTTGCTTCGTACAAGGGTCTGGACTCGCTGCTATAGGGAAGCGATTCTTGCTAGACGCGTGGCCTCTGTTGAGGTGTGTGTGCATGCGTGCGTGCGTGTGTGTGTGTGTGTCGCTGTGAAAGAGGCTAAGTTAAGAAGTTAACCGGAAATCGCGTGTGCTGTAAACAACCCTACAGGAGAAAAGTACCGAGCCGAACGTGACGACTGTAAATGAYAGCTGCTGCTTTGTCAGTCAATTTAATTTAATTTGGAAGCGTTATCAACACAGACTGGCTTCATTCACTTCCTCCAATGCCATTGCTAAACTAACTAGCAGACACTGTGCTGAAAATCGACATTCTGTTCTCTGATTGGTTCGGCTAAAAATCTGCCAGCGAAATCCTTGTCAATGGGAGAAGTCCCAGACGAAGCAGAGAAGCAAAACTAGAATTGAGCGCAGCTGCATAGGAAGGCAAGGGCCAGGCTAGTAGGACATGTTTACAATATTGAAATTTTCAAAAAGAGGAATTGTTTTATGGCAGCAGTTAAATTTGACCTTAGCAACTGTCAGACTAGCCATTAGTTCATCAGTCTGACCAGAAATAAGCTCAATGGCTGTTTGAATTATCAACTCATTTCATACACAGTGAGTCAGACTTTTTATAGTGCTGTTGGAAACTTTACCTGGAATTTAGTATCCACTATGTAGTTTCCTCACATGGTCCAGTACATTTAGAACATTTTCCAAACTGAGGTTGTTCAAAAAACTATCTGTAACAAGTAAGATATTGATTCTTTAGCTTGCCTACAGAGCCCCACTTGTAAAACTTGAACCATTTTACACTGTACACGTCTGTTTAAAACAGCATTTGATGTTTTTTTTTTCCTAGGTTGGTACTGGGGGTCTATCTCAGCCAGTGAAGCTCGAGAAGCTCTCCTCACCAAGTCTGAGGGCACGTTCCTGGTGCGGGACAGCAGCCACCCTCAGTACATGATGGCCCTGTCTGTGAAGACCCGCTGTGGGCCTACCAGCGTGCGTATAGAGTACAAGAAGGGCCGTTTCTGGCTAGACTCCACTACGTCTCACCTGCCTCACCTCCAGACTTTCCCAGATGTTCTGAGCCTCATCCAGCACTACACGGTCTCAGGCCAGACGGCGCAGGACCTGTCGTCGGTGCAGCCGCAAACAAAGCCAGACCACACGGAGCGAGCAGACAAAGACAGCGGAGTCCCCCTGAAGCTGGTGCAACCTCTGCACAGCCTGCAAGGTTTTCCTTCTTTGCAGCACCTGACGCGGCTCGCCATCAACAAACACACAAACTGCACCGACCAGCTGCCCCTCCCCAAGCCGCTGCTGCGTTTCCTGCAGAACTACCCTTTCTTCATATAAAGACAGCCGTCAGTCAGACTCATTGGGGCAAAAGAGAGACAGGAGCGTGGTCAGGATTACGCTCCGTGACCACATGCTGTGAAAGTGGGAAAGCATCGGGTCTCACGCTGCAGAGACGGTCCAGGTGGAGAAAACTGTCGTGAAGATTCAGTGAACCTCAGTGTTACCTGACTGAATGAGTTCAGTCTTAATCCAGGACAGAAACATTGTTCTCTAAATTATTTACATGTTTACATGTTTACATGCCTTGTAGCTACTGTGAAATGTGCAATCTGTGAGGGTTTTTTTTTTTCTTGCTGTTGTTTTCTTTATTTTTGGAAAGTGGTTCTGTTTTCAAATGAGCCAGTCAGCTCCAAGTTATAAATAATAAATCTCAAAAATTAATAAATTAGGATGTTTCGTTAATCTAGTAGATTTACTGGGCGAATTCATCTTTGCTGCTCTTCAGGGTTGGTTTGAAAGGGTTTTCAGCAAAATATATTCACTATGCAAAATAAATTATTGTCGTATTAAGTTGCTATGCAGTCATTTCAAAATCCCCTCAGAAAACTGTATACTTAAATTATTTATTGTTCTGAATGTTTTGATACATAACAGTTTATGGATGATTTTATTCCATGTTATATTAAATGTTATGACTACAAGTTCAAATATTTGAAGGTACGCTGTCTCTCTGATGCACAGACCGGAGAACCAACAGTGGTTTACATCTTGTTTTGTATTTTCTATGCATTTATTAGAAATCAGATATTGTTCTTTTAAGAGGGGAGACAAGGTTTCCTTTTATTATCATTTCATTACCAGCGAAGGCTCTTCTGCAAAAGCTGCAGCTGATGAAAGACATCTGTAATCAAATTGGTTTTATTCTCAAAAGGAAGACGAGAGTTGCCTTCAGAGAAAAAAAAAACTATTTTCTTTCATTTTAATAGCTTGACCACTTCACATACAGCTGAATGGGAGGTATTACCATTTTCTTGGAAACGCATCTGAGTTGGTTTTCCACGAGTTGGAACTGAGCAGCACTGAGAAAGCCTCTTATCAGGATTAGAGTCAGAGCTGCAGTTATTAGAACACTGCTGCACCAAACTAGAGGTGAGAAAGTAGTTTTGTTTGTCCCTTCAAGCCTGCAATTCTGGAAAATCATTTCTTGTAAAAAAAAAAAAAAAAAAAAGAAATAAAAATCCAAGCACTTTCCTCAGTTGGAGTTTGGTCAAAAATAATATTCCTCTCTTCATGTGTTTGATGTTTTTATTTGCAGAGTATTTGCAATCGTATGTGTTTGTGTTTTTTTACTTGAGTGAAAGTGGACTTCAGATTTTAAAAAATGCTAAAGTGCATTAATAAAAGTCTGATTTAAAACATTTAGATTAGAAGAACATCAGTATTATTTACTCTTGTTTGTACTGAAATACTTAACATACTTAATACGAACTTACTTCTTTAAACTTATTGACACATATTTCATGTATATGAATGTAATAAAGATACTTTTTTAAAACACATGTGTTTTTTATGTGTAAATATATTAATATAGATTTTATATATAAATTAACCGTGTATAATATAGATGGTCAAAGGATTAATTTGTTGTTTTTTTTAAGGGGTTTTCTGTGAAAACGTTATCAAAAGTCAGTGTCCTAACTGCAGTAGAAATCATTTGGAGCAGTTTCAGAAGTGATCTTTTTACAGTTAAGTGTGTTTCAATAGACCGGAAGTAGGCATGAAAATACAGTATCTAGACCCCAATGCGTTGCAAAATACTGACTTTGAGCATGCTCGGTAGTAACTGTTCAACAGCTAGTCAGAACAGGAACAGTTTGAAAGCAAATTGCTGCTGTATTTAAACAACTGCTGTCCCAAAATAGCTGTAGAAGTTCATTTAAACACTGTGTCATAAACTTTTACGCTACAATTACTTTGAATTAGATGGTTATTTATATTTTTGGAACAAAGATTTTTCTTATTCCATGGGAGGACATGTCAGGTGGGACCTCTGTTCTTTTCTGTTCTGGATATATATCTGGACTCKGATCACTGGATTCTACAGATTGGCTTGGTGGTCTCCTGATGTTCTGCAAAACAGCGTCAGTGGCTGTTCATCTCCTGGCTGACTGACCAATTTGATGGGTGACCGTATTCTATCAGCACTTGGACATTGTGCCTACATTGTGCCTTGAGCGAGCTGGACTCGGTCTGCAAGTGGTTCTATTGAAGGTCGCGGGCCGGCTGTCGTCCCTGGACTTTGCTGGCCTGATGGAATTCATCTTGGAGAAAGCTGATAGTTTTGGCTCGGCAGAATATGTCCACACCATTTGCCTGATTGGAATCGCCACCTTCAGAGTACCAGCAGAAACACTAAAGCAGATGGAAAATTGTTTATGGTCTGCCTGTCTCTTCTGTTCCCAAAACAACTGATTACGGAATCTGGATCTCCCTGACAACAGCCTTGATCTGTTGACTAAATTCTTCCTGGCTGGATATGTCGACAAGGCTGTGCCCCATACCTTTCCCCACTCCTCTCACCCATCTAATCTGTTTCCAGAGCAGGCTGAAAGCTGCACAGAAATGAACAGTTCCATCAATATTTCTGAACTATGGCTGCGCTGATTTTGGGGACTGTATTCTTCGTGGCCCCTAAACTCACTTACTCTGGCTAATAAAGTTGCTATGCAGAGGTTTTTTCATAAACACCATAGTGTGTCACAGTGTTGATATAATATGATGTTATTGCTTTTTCTGTCATCTTCCCTTCCCCTTCTGTATTTTTCAGTTTTTCTTTGTTTCTAAGATGGCGCCACGGTAGGCAGCCTGTTACTGCAACTCCACTGTTTTGAGCTGTTGTAATGTTCAAATTTTCCCACTGTGGGATCAATAAAATTCTATCTATCTATCTATCT